CTCTAAACACAGGTTCTCTTCCAGACTCTCTCTTTTCACACTTTCCAGCCTATCTGGATAATATATTTGTTGAGGACTTGTCTAACCGCAGTGATGAAACACCTCACAACGAGCAGGTAAAACAAGCAACCTCACAAGAGTGTATGCATGTATCAGTTTAACAGATGAAAAACAAATACAGGGGTGAATAAGGATCAAATCCTCAAAGGTATTCAGCTGCCTAAACACCTCCAAAGATGGAGATTTAATTCACTTCTCCAAATCACACAGGGGACATGAATCCAGATTCTTGGACTCAAAAGCATCTTTGCAGCTTTTATGCTTTATTAAAAACTCCAATTGTGGTAAATCAGCATGGACCAGACTCTACTTCTATTTATCCCAGCATATTCTGCATCAACACCATTAACATCAGAGGAGTTCTCTGGATTTCGATCAGTGCAACGGAGCCACCTCTAGGCCTACTGACAACAAGTTACAAATAAACTTTAAGGACTTCACTGCTTACAGTAAAGTGTCAGCTATTTAAACATGCACAGGTCAAGGAACCAGCCTCTTTCTCATAAATGAAAGAAAACAATTTGTCAAGGTATCTTCCTGTTGAAAATATTCTGTATATTTAAAAGATGTCACTCACTCTCACAGAGATATAGATAAGAAACTACAACACCTATTAGTTATGTAGTTCCCAGAACTGCTTTTTATGAACTGCAAGCATTTGCCTTTCACTTTGTAGTCTGTAATTACCGTAACAGTATGAGTTTCTTTCTTTTAAAACTGATTTTCTATGGAGAAATTCATGATCCTGAGATCTGCTGGAAGGAGATCATTTACAAAAGGTCCCCCGCAAGTATATAAATCTCTGTTACACGTTTTCCTCTGTCATGATGGCTTGCAGTTGAAAACTGACTAGACAAGTGTTTCCACTTGGGTCAACATTCATATATGAAATGAATTCTCTCCTAGATAATACATTACTTTCTCTAGCTATTTACACATCTAGAGTGTAATGACATTAGCCTGCACAAATATTCAGTTTGTTCCAACTTTTGGGGGAGTAATTTTGGAAGGTGCTTTGTAGCATCATGTTGGACTCTCTCTACCTCCACAATGTCAGCCTGACATTCTTCCCTATGTTTCCAAATCCTCCTCCACAGGTTTAATCTCTCCTTGATTACAGCTTGTCTTAAACAATGTAAATCCAGCAGACACTCTCTAATTTTCCAGTGAGCTGCTTGTGATTTGAAGTGGCCCTGAAGCAGATGCTGGATCTAAATACACATCTGTGTGTAAATTCTACCCAATTTAACAGCTCAGCCATATTCTTATCTGCAATGTAATCCTTCACTAGACTTCAGAAACACAGTAAAATTGCAGATGTGCCTCTCTGGTAAGAATTCTCCATTCATAACACAGTAGCCTGTAACTAAAGCAGATAGGTATTTAGATTTTATTCAGATAGCTTTATCCAAAATACCATATAAAGGAAAAGTTATCAGTGGTTATAGATGGTGGGTGGAAGAGAGCAATGAGTCACGCTCACCATGAGTAAAAGTGCTGAGCCTCTTCAAAGCATTGCAAATGTGCCTGTGAAAAACTGCTCTCTCTTCCTTTCCACAACAGAAATAAGAAAACAGAGCATTTGAGTGGCAAAACCAATCCTCATTGTTGAAGCCTTGGGGAAGCAAGAGCTGGGAAGTCCCAAAGTTTTAATTATTTTAACTAAAGAGCTGTCAGTAACATTTTTTGCATGCAGAAGAGTCAGCTGCCTGGCTCATTCAGAACAATTCAATGGTCTTTCATCAACTCAAAGGAGGAGAAATAAAAAAATAACTCTTTTTAATAGGAAATATTACAGGCAACAATCTTCCAAGAACAATGGGAATCAACAATTTGGACTTTAACCTTTCCAAGTGATGGATGTTGGTGAGATATAAGGGAATTTCAAAGCCAGTCAGTAAAAGTCTCATCATATGTCTGAGTCTCCACCTTTGAGGTAAGAAGCATTTACTGTTTATTACACATTCAGTGGAAAAACACTTCAGAAGAATTTAGTTCAAGCTGGCAGAATTAAAGGTGAATGACAAACCATTTCATACACAGAAGCACACATCACAAACTGCTTTTCAAACACTTAAGATCCTGATCTTAGACACTTTGTGCACTGAGTAATCTCCCAGAAGTCAAAAAGACTATACATAGATTTTAAATGTCAAATAGATACAAACTGTTTTAAAGAGACCCTTAAAAATGTAAAGAAGTAAGAGTAACGGTTTCAATGTGGGCAGAAGTGTCCTTGGAATTGCATTTGTTTTGGTAAAATCCCCATCACCAAAACAAATTTAATAAACTAAATCTTTCATTTATCAGGGCCAAGTTATGAATGATTCACAGTGACTAACACTGTGTCCTGCCCTGTGAAAGGCTCCTTTGTGCTCAATGGGAGAAAGGTAGGAATCTTATACTTGATGAATTCACACTTCCCCAGTATTATAAGTATATGGAGGTCAAATTACTTCACCAAACTACAAGAGAATTCCCAAGAAATAGGTCTGCATGCAGGAGAGCAGGTGAAGGAAATAAAAATAGGTTTGATGCCAACAAAATAGTTCTTGTCCTTATTATCCTCCTTTGTTACCCTAGAAAACATTTCACTAGAGCCAAAGCTAAGGGCTTAATTGTGGGGAGCACATTAAAGGAAGCAAAGTAGGATGTACAAGGAACTATTTTATTCAAAACAGAAGACACTCAACCAAAGGGTGGGGGAAGCTTGCCCAAAAAGTCTTTTCCCAACATTCATCAATGATTAAAAACTTCTTTTTAAGAGAGATTCTCTGCCTTGCCTCTAGAAAGTTACAGCTAAGAACACTAAGCCAAAGCCAGGCAAGACCAAGGAGCTGTTACTACCATTATACCCTTGCTTCTCAGACCTACTTCCAAAGCAAAACCTGAGCTTCACTCAGTTTAGACAGTCCCAAAGTCCACCACAAGCCATGACAGCCTGACACCAGCTGACAGCACCACTACATGAAGCCCATAGCACTACTCTTACCCCTTCCTTCTCCTCCCTTCTTCACACCCACAAATAACACTGCCTTCTAAATTACAAGGGACAGGAGACAGGAACTCTGTTATCATACTCTAAGCTCCAACACACCCCCTCTCCTGCCTTTTAAACCTTCTGCTATACATTTTGGTTGCATACAAAGGTTTTAGAGGAGGCTGATAATTTTAATCTCAGGAATTCAGACTCTACTCCTATAAAGGTTAGATGAGCACTAGAGAATACAATCATTAGTTCCTAAGATCAGTTTTATCTTTCACTGTTACTAGTAGTATTTATTGCAACAGAAGTTCTCTAGAGCAATTAGGGTCCTCCAGTACTGGGCACTAACAATGCACCCAAGAAACACCTCTTTCCTGAAGACCTCAGAGAAATTACAACCACTGAGAGGTACATGAAGCAAACAGACAAACACTACTACTAGCTACACGAGGTTGGAGGCCAAGAAAGATGGAGGGAGGGAAGAGCAGAGAAAGGGATTTCTTTTCTATAGTATGGCTGCCACTATTAAAAAAGACTATGCTATGGATCAGGGAGGGCTCTGGGAAGAGCAGGAACTCTGTTCAGCAATACTGGAGATCCCTTTCAAATATATTATCATTCTCTCTGAAACTACTTCCCCTGCTTTAAAAGATAGATTTCAAATCATATTTGACACCAAGCTCTCATTGAGCATATTCTATTTTAGCTTCTTCAGCCACTAGCAAAAGGTGTCCATTAACACAAGGTGAACATTTAATGATTTGCTTACACACTTTATCCCATCTATTAATCATCGTCTGGCCACAAAGCCAAATTAAAACCTCCTGACCAAAGGGTGCTAAGTCTACATCAAAGTCTTGAGTACTTTCACAAGACAGAGACCCTGCATGGTATTTCATCTGGGAGCCTGGGAATTATCCTCTTAGAGTTAGAGTTGGGTCAGGTAACAGGACTGCTTTGGGGTGAGAGTTGTTTGTCTGTAACACAGTTCACAGTTATATATCAGACAACAGGCTCTAACTAGAAGTCCAAAGGAAGGAAGTTTTGAGATACTGCCTTTCAATTATAATCGAGCCGGTCTTTGCACAACTCATCTCTTCACTTTTCAAATCAAACATAGCACTTCCCTGCTCTACAATGCAAGCTATTTAACAGTAGCTGTCAATCATGGAGACTAACTAAGGAGAAAGAGCACTCAAATAAAAAGAACTGTGTCTGATATGAAGGTACCTTCCATTTCCAGAGAGACTAAAACTATCCTGTGAGCAATCTGCTTTTTAGCCTAATTTTTGCACAGCTTCAGCTCCACAAACTGCAATGGAAATAACTGTGAACTGCACTGAGCTGGGCATGTAATTGGTCCGTAAGACCTGATTTTCAATACATAATACCTCACTTTTCACAAGGATTTGTTCAGTTGCAAATGCACTTCACTTACTGGTCACTTTAATCAATTAAAGGGGTTCTCTCATAGCAATTTTGAGACTATAGCAAGTATTCTAGGATGCTTTCTCAGAGCAGCACAGCTGCTGTGTTTTACAGTGCAGTGACCATTTTAAACAAGATTTTACCAGATCCCTCCCACAGAGCAAAGTGTTTTCCTCCAATACGCAAAAAAGTCAAGAAATTTGTCAACAAAAAGAGACTTCAAAGAATTATTAAAAGCATATTTCACAGTAACTACAGCAATCATATTTATGTTCCAAAATGGAGTACAAGAGCAATTAACTGACAGTTGTAGCAACACAGTGTATCTGTGAATTACACTGCTCACAGGAACAACTGTGTTCAGGAATGCACGATGGAAGCAGGAGATAGGTTCAAGATGTTTTGGAGCAGGCTGAATTACAGACAGATGTACATCACAGCGTGTCCAGTCAAAATGCATTAAAGCAGAAACACATATGAGCAACTAGACAAAGACCACCAAATCATACTGTTGTAATTAACATACCTTGCAGTGACACCTGTGGCTTTCCAAGATAAGAAATCCGGAAGATCAAAGAAGTGGCCTGCCTTCTCCCAGCATGATTCTTGCAGGTTCTAACAAAACAGTTATTAGAAATACAGATATTAGAGACCAGGCATGATGTCCTTATTTTAATGCCATTTAAAAGACCTGACATCTATGTAAAAATGAGTTTTTCCAAACCAAATATTCTTATCATCCAGTCTGCTCTGCTTACTTTGCAGTGATTTACTGCCTCAAGAACTGAGTCTTTTCCACCACACACTGATGGTAAGAAAAGTTTCCCATGCAGAGTTCATGGAGGCACATGTTTCAGATCAGTAACAGGGGATCTCTCAGTTCCTCTTCAGCTGCTCAATGACAGAAGTCTCAAAGTCAACAGACAACTTTCTCAAGGCATATATGCTTGAAGAATTCCCCATTTCCTAAAATGAATCATTTTTAATTTAGTATCTTTGAATTATAAGAAGAAAACAGCTCTGTGAGCACAAAAACAAAGCTTTTGAATGTATTTCAACATGATTGAAGCATGACTGAAGCATTTAAGAACCTGTAAACTTTCAATGAAGCTTTTTTCCACAGCTGGGATACGCAGGAGCTCTCAACTGCCTGGATTAACCAGTAACAGTCAGCTCTAAATCCACACTATAACCCACAACTGCAACCACAGCGTGCCCAGGAATTCACATGAACAATTAACAGAAGCTTATCTTTGCAAACTCTGCCCCTCCTCAAAATTTCCTTGAATACACACCACCACACAAAGCACTACGAATGCCCAAGTTCCCATTTGAAGGGGTTCAACATTATTTCCTCAGTTGAGGGCATAACTGAAGACAGTTACAGGAAAACCCTCCAATTAAGAGTATGATCTGTACAAGCTCCTGATAGACATATGCTATTTCCAAACTCCTAAACCACTCTTCCACCATATAGATCATTTACAGAGAGTTCCCAACACTATACTCTGCAGAGAGCTAGTGATGCAGAGAGCAAGTAGTTCATTACAAGATGCTGGTCACATCATCTGGGCCAGGCTTTCTTCTTTGTTTCACTCTCCAAAGCTCAGTCTGAGTTCAGCTTATGATAGAGTGCAGATTCTTAAAAACAATCTCCACGCTTCCACAGGTATCAGATGATGACAGATGGGAGAAAAGTTTCCCCAAAAGTGACTTTATATTCCAGTGTGACATAAATAGTGAGCATCACTGTCCTGCAACACAATACCACCTCTGGCCTCAGCACATTCAAATAACTAAAGAATATCAAAACCAAATAGAAGTCAGTGCTGCTGATCACACGGTGCACAAATCAGACTTCCAGAGGAGGATAAGATTCCACTGGAAACCTCCACCAGCTTTTTAAATAATTGAAAAAGTGAGAAGTGATCTCACCTAAGAGCAGGTGTTATACTAGAAACACAAATCCTAGGTGGGGTCTTTTGGCCATGAAGCTCTGCTAGATGGCATAGTCTCAGCAAGAACACAAGTTAGGTCAACAGTAGCTCCCAGCAGGCCAAAGCAGAGCTAGAGAGATATTTCAGAAGGGCATGAGGTGGGAAACTATGTGGGTCTTCATCTCTACTCAAGAAATTTCAAGGATGATTTATCTGACTTCTTGTCTTCTAGCTTTCAGTTCCTAGCTTTTTCCTCTACTCTCCATAAGTTCAGGCCAAGTCTCTTGTACAAGATTTGTGAGGCAGATGATTCTTCAGACAAGTAAAAGTATTAAATGCTAATAGTATCTCAACAGCATAAGCTTTATCAATGGCAACTCCAAGTCTTCCCCTCTACTCCCCCAAAACCCGGTAAGAACCTGTGGTACACAGCTGAGCAGAAGGCCGAAGTACTTTACCAAATGTCCTAGTAGCTTTGTGATTATGCTTTTCTTGCCAAAGCTTTGGTTTTCCAATTCTTCATTAAACTGTCAATAACTAACATAATTTAAATCATCTGCATTTTAAAAGCTGCCATCAGTTATCTGGAGCAAAAAAATTAATTACGTGCAGTATCAAGAATTGCTGAACTAAGAGCAAAGATAATTCCATTTTAAGAAATACTATTTGGCTCTACAACTGAATTCAGATACTGCGTGATATCAAACCAAAATCTTACAAGTCCAGAAACTGACTGCAACAGAATCTGAATTCCAGAAACTAAGATGCAATTGGGTAAGTACAAAAAAGGGCAAAATTTTGTTTAGTTTTCGATCAGACAAAGAATCTGTCTTCTCTGAGTTTAGTTCTTCAAAAGCTTCTAAAGCTTCCTGGGTTTCTATTGAGTTCAAGAAAGAAATGCCCCAATTACAGGTTTTTAACATAGCACATACAACCTTTGGATGTCTGCTCCTGATCGCTCAGGTTTATCTCCTGGATGCTATGCGGCTGCTACTCCCCCATCCAATTTAACTTTACATGTGAGTGCAAAGGTACTCCATAGCTTAGTAAAAAAGTCATTCAGCCTGATCATGTTGATAATAAAAGCCACAATGCACTGTTAAAGCACGTGACTATCATCAAGAACCAATAGGAGTAGAATGGCTATTAGTGTTAATCAGAAAAGAAACAAGATTAAGAATAACTGTCCCCTTAAACAAATCTGTTTCACCAAAGATACTCCTTGGATCCTTATTCTATTACTTCAAGAATTCCCCAAAGCCACGTTACTGACATTAAAATCTGTTGTTTCATGAACATCCAAATGATTCATTCTCTGCCATCTTGATGCTGTGTCATCACTAATTAGCACAGACAAAAAAAAACCATTGCATGCCCTGATGCTTTTTCCAAACAAATTTAAAAGTCTCCATGTTTTCGACACTCACTGAAGTTATTTATTTTCACTCACAGGCAGGAATCCGTGACCACATTAAAAGGATTGTGGAAAAGAGCTGGGAACATTCCCAATGCTGTATTCATATCCTGCGACTCAGCCTCCAAACTCACTTGGAAAGAAACTAATCCAATATTTCTATTTTCCAGGGGTACTTATGGAGTCCCCTTTCTTCATATCTCTCTCTGCTGGTTTGGAGTTTAACAACTATACTTTTTTAGATCCTTACAGGTAATCCCAGATACTTGGGTGGCAAAGCATTTAGGAATTATCAAGTACAATGTCTTTTAATCTTCCTAGACAAGAAGCACCTGGGGAGTGAGGGATCAGGGAACTGATACAGAGCATATGAAAGGCCTCCACTGCCCATTTACCCCTTGAAAAGTCCATGAAGCCATACTGCATGATTTTATATTGTGTAAAATGTATTTGTTCACTACTTAGTTGGACTGAAAACACACACATAAACAGAATTCCACCTTAGTCCCAGCACCTGATACAATTTTTTGGAGACACCTGGAGGCACATTCTCTTTGGGAAAGCTGAGAGAACTTTCACATCCACCTTTTATTGGTGTGCTGAGGCAGCCCATTTCTGGAGAAAAGTTTACAGGAAAGTTTGATTTTTGCCCTTACCAAGTGTACAATTTTCTTGTAAGATGAATTGATCTTCAGACATCTGATGTTTGTGAAAATGTGTTTTTTTCCACCTCAAGTATAATGTGTATATAAAGAGCAAAGATGTCATGTCTTTTGTTATTGCTAATACAGATTAAATGTGAATCATATTATCTTAAATGAAAGTATACACGCAACCTTCGTATCAGATCCCTGTTGGCCAAGCGTTTAACTAAAGATGGGCTTTAGCACAGGGTATCAGTCTGAATTTCAGCACTAGTTACCAGCCAAAACCCACAAATTCAAAAATCATCCCAAACTGGTGGGTTAGAAATCCAGATTAAAAGCAGGGGGCACAGATGGAAGCAGAAAAATGTTTTGCCATTTAGAGTGAAAAGAAAGCTGGTGTGAGCATTCAAGTTCCACATTAGGTCAAAATCTAAGTCATCTGAAAATCAGCAGAGACTCATTCCCTGAAGAACCATCTGCTTTGCCCAATTTAACCCTAAATTTGAATCTAATCTCCCAGGCAATCTGTATGCTATGTAGTGTACCAATCCCTCTTTTTCTAAGTGACAAAAACAAATACACATTGTGTGAAAGGAAGAAAGACAGCAACTGAAGACTTAATGCATACACTCACGGGGATTTAAGAAACTGATGGCCCATTCCCTGCTGTGATTCAGACAAAGCAAGGACTTTGGATCTCCCACACTTCAGATCAGATGCCAAGCCATGTGATAGAGCTATTCTGAGATACCTAAGATAGGCTCTGAGCAGAAATCCTACCCTTGCCAGAGCCAAGGCTACAAAGCGATCAATTCTGCAACTACCAGTTGCAATCCAATTGGTAAAATACAAACTGACAATTACCACATTCATCTTGAGGGAGGAGAGGGGGAGAGCTTGGAAGGTAACCTCTTAGAGGAAGGCTACTGGTGAAAGTGGACAGAACTGCCTCTCTGTAACACAGCCTCTACTCCCAAGACACTGTCTTAGACACGTGTAGGTACTTACTTACTTGATCGGCAACTGCAACTAAAAGCCAGACTCAACAGCCTGAAGTACAACTTCTGCATACACATCTGCACTATGTATGGATTTGGATAAGACAGAGCTGTTAAAGCATTTATAAACAATTCTAATCAAGAGTTCAGTTCCAAATTCAGTACTTGGACTCATTCTCACTTAACACTGAATTTATTAGTTATTTTAATGGGAAAATATCCAGTCACATTCAACAAAACAAAAAGCCAGCTGCAAAGGCAGCAAGCAATGGAGAAGATAGACGCTGCTGCCAAGCTAATGTGAGTGCATCCACTATTCTTCTTTCCTCCATAGCCAGGGGAAGATGTTTAAATTGTTTCTGTAAATTATCCCATTGGTAGCTGCAAGACACAGGTGTACAAAGAGAAAAACAATGATGCATACAACAGTAGCTGTAACTGAAATGTGAACTGTAACACACAGAAAGATCACTGACCACAGTGCCAGAAAAAGAATTACTCAGAAACTATTGATTTTAGCTATTAATTGCAGAAGAATGATATGTTAGTCAGTCACTCTAAGCTTTTTGCTAAAGGGAGGCTCTTCTTTGCTCTTACATACCATATCAAGAACAGAGTT